TTCTCAATCACCAACTTCCCCTACTTCTTTCACTCACATACAACAAACAAAATCAAACTTTCCAGTTCTATTCAAACTAGCTATTTCACAACAACTCCAATTAGATCCCCCAAATTCCACTAAATGAACACTCGGTGATTTCTCCCATCTGCATAAGCCTTAGCGGGCAAAGTTACCCAGTTCCTGTGTTGATAGGTACCAAGTACTCGGTGTACTAGTCCAGGTATGTGCAAGCTGGCCTGAACACCACCATCATAAATAAAAACTAAATTCTTCTAAATGCACCTGTTTTACTCAGACTTACAATTTTCCTAGATCTCCAATCATGTTTTTCTATCAATCACTTTCCCCTACGTACTGCCTAAGCCTTGAGGGGGGCAAAGTTACTCGATTCCTGTGTTGATAGGTAGCAAGTAGCAGGTACCCGGTGGAATAATCGAGGAGCGCACAAGCTAGCCCAGACACCACCGTCATAAATAAAAACAAAATTCTCCTAAATGCAACTATTTTACTCAGACTTCTGATTTTCCTAAATCTCCAATCATGTTTTTCTATCAATCGACTTCCCCTCCCTGCGTGCCCAGTTCCTGTTCTGATATGTAGCAAGTAACCGGTGGAATAGCTGAGGTACGCGCAAGCTGGCCTGAACACCACCATCATAAATAAAAACAGAATTCTGCTAAATGCAAGTGTTTACTTACTTCCCATTTTCTAAATCTCAAATCATTTCTCTATCAATCAACCTTCCCTACGAACTAATTTCAGCACAATTTTACACCAACACATAACTCAGCAACAAATCAACACGTCAAAAATTACAAACAACTCTAATCGAAGCAAAAATATAAATATCCAATTAATACATTTAAAATTGAATTAAATTTGACCTGTAGAGGACGTCAAAGGCGACGTAAGCTCGAGCATGGCCTATATGACTGAAATCATAACTGGTAACGCCGCAAACGTACATTTTCACCTTACCTGGTTCCTTCGGTATGAAAAACTCCTTTTGTTTCGTCATTGTGTTATAGACCTGAAATTCAATCTTCTCTTTCACCATTTTTAAACGAATTTCTCCGATCGACCGGAACGGAAAATCGATTTTCTCCTCGTAGTACAAAAACCCTAGTTACGGCCGCTCAAATGTGTGTATTAAGGTAAAAGAGAGAGATTCGAGGAATCGTTATTTTTATTTCCCTTTCTTCCGCTTTTCTCTTTTGTACTTTTTGTTTAAATAAGGTAGTTATGTTTGGAAAAAAAGATGTTATATTTGATTACTATATTTTTATTTGGAAAGTAAAAGGTTTGGTATATATTTGTTAAAAGATTACATCAATAATGAGCAAAACTAAATTAAGAGATACAAAATAGGAAATACTAATACAAAATTATGCTAATCAGATTGTTAGTATTAATAAAAGAGTGTTATTCTTAAGTGAAACTGTAATTTTTTTTAGTTTTACACTATATACGGTACTAGTCTAATTTGGAATTCAATTAATTCGAATTTGTGCACTCCCTATCAATGTAAATCACCTAATTATTAAATAATTGTTTAATCACATTTAATGCAATTTCTTTTGCTTTAAGTTAAAGGAATAAACTGGTGAAAGTAAGATGGGCCGACTTGTAAGTTGCTTAGTTTGAGCTGGGCTCATGTATTTTAGAGAGAAAACCTCACTTTATACCCATTAATTTTAAATTATTTACTCTTTAATATCCAGACCCAAACTATTTACTACTCCTACCCATCGACTTTTTTCCTATATAAAAAATAATCTGGTAACAAGTTTGTACATCATACATAGAAAATGAATATGAAAAGGTAAAGTTACTGCATATAACTGTCCATTTCAGCATCTCAGGGCAACCAAATTTTCGACTGGGCAATAAGCAGATTAGGAATTGCAGCCACTGTAGCTAAGGCCTTAGCTTTCATGCATGAAGGCCTCTAGAATAATGATATTCCTCACGGAAACTTGAAATCCACCAATATGTGTATCTGAATATCCACCATTGTTGGGCTTGAAGCTCAATTTTATTTTTGAAGATTTCTTATTTCATTCAAAGTGGGTGCTGTTAAATATTGCTTATAGTACCTTCTGGAAGTTCATACTGAAATTTGATAGCATTTGGAGCTGATTTGAGGTGATTGAGATCGAAATTTTCAATTGAAAATCGAAGAAGAACATAGCTACAGTATACCGCTACAGTATACAATATGTTGTAGGAGTATATAGCTATACTGCAACAGTATACTATTATAGTTAACAATATACTGCAACGGTATATTGTAATAATAGAAGAAGAACACGGTTACTTAACAGTATACCGCTACAGTATACAATATACTATAGGAGTATATAGTTATACTGCAACAGTATACTATTATAGTATACAATATATTGTTATAGTATATTATAATAATATGCAATATACTGTAATAATATGTTGTAATAGTATACAATATACTATAATAGTATTTATTACCCGTAAATTCACTTGCCTTTTCTCTTTTAATTTGCTTTACGCTTTTACCCAGCGTGAGCGGCAAATTGAAAATGCAAAAGAAAATAAAAAAAAATATTATAGTATGTTATATAATGTAACGGTATACTCTTACAATTAGATCCTTTTAGAATTTTTTGAAATTTTATTGACAACTGATATTATTTCACTTTAATAATTGAATTAAACTTTTTTTTAACTCTTTGTGTATAATTGTATACCCTGTTGGTATAACTATATACTATACTAGTATCAAATGTTAGTTAATATTTTTTTTGATTGTATTAGCTACATTTAGAGTAAGTTTTATAGAGTGGTGGTTCGACCGGCTATGCTGTATGGGGCTGAGTGTTGGCCAGTCAAGAACTCCCACGTGCCGAAGATGAGAGTAGCAGAGATGAGGATGTTGAGATGGATGTGTGGGTGTACCAGGAGCGATAGGATTAGGAATGAAGATATCCGAGATAGAGTGGGAGTAGCCTCCGTGGAGGACAAGATGCGGGAGTCGTGGCTGCGATGGTTCGGACATGTTAAGAGAAGAAGCATTGATGCCCCAGTTAGGAGGTGTGAGAGGTTGGCCATGGAGAGTTTGAGAAGAGGTCGAGGTAGGCCTAAGAAGTATTGGGGAGAGGTGATTAGGCAGGACATGGCGCTGCTTCAGCTCACTGAGGATATGACCCTTGATAGGAGAGTGTGGAGGTCGAGGATTAAGGTAGAGGGTTAGTAGGTAGTTTATAGTTGTTCACCGATAGTCTTAGTAGTATGCATGTCCCTTCATATTTTTAGATTTTTATTATGTTATGTGGTTTTGTTTGCCTCAGGTATTGTATTCCATGTTGCTATTATTTGGTACCACTTATCCTGTATCTCTCCCTTTTTCTTTTATCTTCCATCTTTCTTCCTCCCTTGCTTTCCTCTTTTTCTTCTTGCCCTTCCTGAGCCGAGGGTCTATTGGAAACAGCCTCTCTACCTGCATTAGGTAGGGGTAAGGTCTGCGTACAGACTACCCTACCCCAACCCTACTGTTGGATCAAACTGGGTTTGTTGTTGTTGTTGTTGTTGTTGTTGTTGTTGTTGTTGTATTGTTGTTGTATTAGCTACATTTAATTGGTACACAATTTGATTTTTCTTTAGTAATGATATATAAAAAAAAATAATAAAAAATAGTGAAAATAGTAAATGAAATTAGATTATGAAGAGAAAAAGAATATAAAAAAAAGTTAAATGAAATTAGAATAGGAAAAAAGAGAAAAATAAGAAGAAAACGAGAAAAAAGAAAAGAAAAGAAGCATAGAAATAAAAAAGAATTGGAGAATAAAGAGAAAATTCCCCATAAAACCTACTATGGGTAGGAAATATAATTAGTTTATGGGTAGAAAAATAAATGGGTAGACAAGGGTAAATAGTTTTATTTTTGTGGGTAACTGTGTCAAAACCCCTATTTTAGAGCTCGATTTGGCTGGAGCAGCAAACACAAAACAAACTTCAAGGTAAGGGCTATTATCACTTTTAGCCCGCGCCAAAAATTATTTATATTTAGTAGCCGAAAAAGTATATTAAATTTATATACTTTTTGTATATAACATACAGAATGTATATATATACGAAAGATATACAAAAAAAAATATATTTTTCGGTTACTATATATTGAAAACGGCTATACAGTGTCATTTTCCCGCGCAAATTTCAGCTTAAGAAAAAGTTATCCACGATAACCGTTGCTCTCGGAGCACGATAGCAAGGAATGCGATTGTGACCGGAAAATATGGCTCGTCGCCGAAAAACTGTGCATAACACTACTATGCAGTCGGGGAAGTTAATCACTCCAGCAAACGGCATACAAAAGGAATTACCACCACTCACATTTGGGAGTTTTTACCACAGAAATACCAATCGATTGAGGGAGTTCATGAAACTAGTTGTTCTGAAGGTGATGTGCAACTTCAACCTGTCAAAGCGGATGGAACAACGATACAGGCAGCTCGCGATTACAGTACTCTAAAGCGAGTGGATTGAAAAGCCAACTCCTACAGCAGCTGACATTGTACGAGGGAATCGCAGCTCACAAATGAGTAAACCCTTGTCTTTTGTTCCTCCAATTGATAGAGATGGTAAGCGAATTGTTAAATTGAACGAGGGGGATTTACAATCTCAGGCAAATTATTGGAAAACTTCTCTAATTGGGTACATAATAGGAGAAAATCCTTATGAAAAAGCTATGGAGAACTTTGTTATGAATGTATGGAATTTTTTTACTAAACCTCAGATACTAATTCATTCTGAGTGATATTGTATCTTCAAATTTCACACCATAGCTGATAGGGACCAAGTTCTCCAGTCAGGGCCATATACATACAGGAACAAACCAATGGTGCTAAGGCTATGGGAAATTGATTTCTCATTCAACAAAGACATACTAAGCATAATGCCAGTTTTGAGTGAGATTCCCTGGGCTACCAGTAGGATATTGGTTGACTGAGGCTCTAAGCAAAATGGCTAGTATGATGGGCAAGCCCCTATACACTGATAAATTCACTGCTCATTATGAGAAGATATCCTATGCTAGGGTTCTTGTGGAGATGGATGTTGCCTATCCTTTTCTAGACCAGCTAGAAATAGAGTCACCTTTTGGCCCAATGGTGCAGACTATTGAGTATGATTAGAGACCTATTTTGTGTAATGACTGTCTGAAATTTGGTCATGATTCTATTGACTGCTGGCACAACAAAAGCTGTAATGAAGAGGATGATAACAAGGAAATGGGAAAGCCGAGAAGAAAAAAAAGAGGAGCAAAGAAGCCAACTAGGATTGTAAAGCAGACATGGCTGGTGAAAAAGCCAGAAGTGAATGCTGAAACAGAGCCAGAACCACTGAGGAAGGAAGCCCTGCAAGCAGACCCTGCTCATGAGCCTGATTGCACTGAGATGGTTAGGAAGAGTATAGAGCATGTACAACAAAAAATTCCTATGCCATATCATACCAAAGACGGGGTCAACCCTCAAAATGACATATGCTGTAATCTTGTGAGTGAAATACTAGCTAGCAATGATAAAGGGAAGGCAATTGCTGAGCTAAGGTATGATGGGAGAGGAGGGCAACATAAGGATCCAGGTCCATCATGCCCTCCAAATTACAACCCTCAATGATCATTGTCGCTTGGAATATTAGGGGCCTGAACCAGACCCATAAGCAGAAGGAGGTAAAGACCTTTCTGGCTAAAAATAAGGTAGATGTAATGGGGCGTATTGAAACTAGAGTAAAAGAACATAAGGCTAAGAAAATACAAAAAAAGATTGCTCAGGGGTGGAATGTTTACTGCAATTATCCTTATGCTGAAAATGGTCGAATTTGGATTCTGTGGAGCGCACATATACAACTTCAGATTATTCAAACTACATATCAATTCATCCATTGTCTAGTGGAGGATAGCATAACTCAAATTACCTCATATCTCGGTACCATCTATGCCCAGAATGATGGCCATCAAAGGGACACTTTATGGAGGGATATTACACAGATAAATATGCAGGCTCAGGAGCCATGGCGGCTTAGTGAAGACTTTAACAATTTACTATCTTATGAGGATAGAATAGGGTCCCCTGTAACCATTGCTGAAACACGGCGATTCAAAGATGTGATTGATTTCTACAGCTTACCCCTCTTAGAGCTAAAGGATGGCATTTAACTTGGACAAACGAACAAGGTACTGGTTCAAGAGTATATAGCAAGATAGATTGAACTTTGGAGAACTATCAGTGGATACAACAATATGGTCATGTGGAGGCATATTTCATGAATCCTTCAGTCTCTGATCACTCCCTTATCCTAATAAAATGTGGTGGGCAGAAATAATTACATCCTAAACCATTTAGACTATACACAAATGTCATAGAACTTCCACAATTCCAGAATATTATTCAGCATGTTTGGAGTCAGAATTATGATAACACATATATGCAACAGATCTGGTGCAACCCAGACTAGGGAAGAAAATAACACAGCTTATCTAGGAAATCAATCCTTTACTTATCTACAACTTGATAATAAAAAAAGATATTCACACTTTACAAAACTATACGTAAGTATTCCCCAAAATTTCTCATAATTTTATATTTATGTCTTTTTGAATTATTTTTAGCCGGATCCCCGCTAGTATTCGTACTAGGATCTGTATCTCAGAATCTTAGAATTTACATCTCGAAGGATTCGACCTCTAGATCTGTCCCCGTGTCGGACACGCACACCCGTGTTCTAGCAACTTAGCAGTATAGTTTATCAATGTAAGAAGTTTTGTATGTTTGTGTTTTACATTGACTTATCTTAGTCTCTACGCAATTCTGTCAAGGTTTGCATATCAAGGGTTGCATTAGACTTCTGACGATGTTGTCATTTATTTTATAGCTATGGTGCCGGATAATCTTATGCGCAACTCGGCCTATTCCACGGAGGCACATGTTACCTCCCACTACTACATTATTGCTGCCATATTTAAGAAGTTTCACTTGAGCATCTTATTTCCTTTAAAGACTTTTTTGCTTCTCTCTCACATCCCACCTCACATCCGGTAGGAGCTCCGACTTTATGTTTTTGTACATATTCTATATTCAACCATAATAGGTTTGTGATCAATAAGGTCTCTAGTCATTCAATATGAGTCTTGTCAAATTTTGTACAACCAAAAATGTTCACAATTAGAATGCGCAATTTTAAGAGTATGCATTGACGTTTGACATAATTAAGTAATAAAAAGTGCGCTCTCTCTAACCGCTCAAGCTTTTAGATAAGATGGTCACACCATTCAGCATGGTATCAGAATAGACATAAGTCATGGTTTCGAGTCTCACCTCTACCTATTATCGCAGGAATATCCACGTGCTTGGCCTTATGCAAAAGAACTATATCCGCACGTGAAAGGCGTATTAAAGACATGATTAAGTAATTATGTGGAATGTTAAATGTACGAAAGTTTGTTTTTGGAAAAGTTGCTATTATTCGAAGTCAAGGTGGACATTTAATTTGAAATGAAGAGGCATCGAAATTTGTACACAAATGATAAAACTAATATACTATCAAATAATATAGAAATATTGATATCACATTTGATATAACTTATGGACGGTAAATCTATAATATATTTTAGGTTTATTTTTGTCATCTGATGTCCTTATGTGGTGGTATTTAAATCTTGTAATATCACGATACTGGCTCTAATGTGGTATGTAAATAGAGAAAATCTCACTTTATACACATTAATTTCAAACTATTTACCCTTTAATGCCCAGGCCCAAATTATTTACCACTCCTACCCATGCGGCCCAAACTATTTACCTGCTAATTCCAGCCGCAACCTGCAAACAAAAGGAATAGTTCCCGCTAACAAGGAATCTTGAAAGAGAACCTCAAGTGGTGAAATAGAGATTCAAACCATGGCTGAAAAACCTGCCTTCGAAGAAATAGACCAGGATTTGTGCAAAAACATGAAAAAATTTATGCAAAAGCATGAAAAATCTAACAAATCTCGTATCATTCTCCGGCGAAGTCGATCTTCAAGTATGTTCTCTTTTTTTTTTGGTCAAAACAACTAAATCTGTGCAAAAACATGAAAAAATACAATCTTTATGTCAGGATTTGCTGTATTTGTTTTTTTAATTAAAATTCCTGAATTTCTTTTCTGGGAATTAAATAGGTATTCAGGAAAAAAGAGTTGAAAAAAATGGCAGAGCAGAAGAAGCAGCAAGTGGGATCTAAAAAAGTGAATCAGCTTCGATCATCGGATTTTGGGATTAATATAATTGTAAAGGTTATTAGTAAAAAGCCAATTACACAGAGAAATCGTCTTACTGAGTGTTTGGTGGGTGATGAAACTGGAATTATTATTTTTACTACCCGCAATGATCAAGGTAATTTTTTTGCTAGGATTGAGAAAAAATGAATATTTATTGTAAGAATTGGCTTGTATCATCAATTGGGAACAAATATTGTTAAGATCTTGTCATTGATGGTTGAAGGGTAACTGATTTAAATGATTTTGCTGTTTTTCATTGTTGTCATATGTTTGACTTCTGCTGTGTGTATTGCATGTTGCGTGGAAGCCGAAGAATGAGTGTATTGAGATTTATTGAGCCTTCGTTGTTCAAATTGGCATATTTTAGACATGCTGGGAGAAACTTATAAATGTCTAGCTAATTAATAGTGGAAGTTGAAAGCATTCGATGGTGTAGTTAAGGATCTAATTTTATTTGAAATTTGGGAAAGATTGTTGGTTTGTTGGAATTCAGTAGTTGCTTCAATGTTCCTTTCCCTTATTTCTTTATGTTCCTTTTCCCTCTGTTTTTTTGGTTTTGCCGTCTTCCCTTTTCTCTTTTGTTCTCACTAACGTTTTTTGTTTGCAAGTTGCGGCTGGAATTAGCGGGGAGGAAAAATTTGATAGGATTGGAGCTGATTTGAGGTGATTGAGTTGGAAATTTCAGCTGAAAATCTAAAAAGAACACAACTACCCAATAGTATACTGCTACGGTATACAATATGCTGTAGGAGTATATAGCTATGTTACAACAATATACTATTATAGTTTACAATATACTGCAACGGTATATTGTAATAATCGAAGAAGAATGTTATAGTATACAATATACTATAGGAGTATATAGTTATACTGCAACAGTATACTATTATAGTATACAATATATTGTTATAGTATACTGTAACAGTATGCAATATACTGTAACAGTATGCTGTAATAGTATACAATATACTATAATAGTACACTTATTACCCGTAAATTCACTTGCCTTTTCCCTTTTGCAAATTGAAAATACAAAAAAAATAAAAATACTATAGTATACTATATAATGTAACGGTATGCTCTTACATTTAGATCCTTTTAGAATTTTTTTGAAATTTTTATTGGCAAGTGATATTATTTCAGTTTAATAATTGAATTAAAATTTTTTTAACTCTTTGCGTACAATTGTATACCCTATTGGTATAGCTATATACTATACTGGTATCATATGTTAGTTAATATTTTTTGATTGTATTAACTACATTTAATTGGTACACAATTTAATTTTTTTTAGTAATAATATAAAAAAAGAATAATAAAAAATAGTGAAAACAATAAATGAAATTAGATTATGAAGAGAAAAAGAGTATAAAAAAAGAAGTTAAATGAAATTTGAAAAGGAAAAAAAAAGAAAACGAGAAAAAAGAAAAGGAGAAAAGAAAAAAAAAGAAAAGAAAAGAAGCATAGAAATAAAAAAGGATGGGAGAATAAAGAAAAGATTTTCCACAAAAACTACTATGGGTAGGAAATGTAATTAGTTTATGGGTAGAAAAATAAATGGGTAGACAAGGGTAAATAGTTTTATTTTCGTGGGTAACTGTATCAAAACCCCATGAAAATATAGGGAGAATTACACATAAGTACAATTCATACACATACATTGCAATTAGTTAGCCCAGTTACAACTTTAAAATTTATAGCCCAAAGATAAAAGGCTAAGGTCCGAAAAAAGCTTTTTTACACCACCAACTACTACTATTATTCCTTCTTCATAAATTTCTACGCTTTGCACAGATTCCAATTGAAACGATCAACTTCAATGGTGGCATTTATTTTATGAAAACACGTAAGGCTTTTATATTTGAATTTGCTTTTCTTAATGTAAAATTGTGTAGAAGTGGAAGCAGTAGAAACATCTACAATTCTAGAGGAGACTTAGACTGTTTAGATGATAAAATGAGAATAGAGATATATTTTAGAACTATTAATTTAATGGAAGGATCTTTGTCAAATCTTATATTTGTTTCTTCCCCAAGTTTCAAATGGTAGAAATAAAAAAAAAATGCTGCAAGCCTGTAATTTGGCAGAAAAAAACAAATACAAACATTTCAATTTTAGTTTTAATTGTACATGTACATTATATATATAATAATATATATAAAAAATAAGAAAAATAAGAAGACGAGAAGACGAGAAGAAAGTATCAAACTTTCATGGAGCCAATTATACACTAACAATATATCTATATATATATATATATATATATATATATATATATACACACACACACACACACAATATTGTACAATGGAAAAATATATTTATATAACATTATACACAAATATACATATTTATATATATTTATACACAATTATACATAATTATACAATATTGTATAAGTGTGTATAAATACCAATTATACAAAATTTAAACTAGAAAACACCTTATGTCCTTCGCCACACCTCTATTTTAACACCAAAAATTTGCCTCACCAATTAATAATACCATTGTTAATCAACACCCATCCAAATTGAAGAATATAGTCACAATGTTATTCGAATTAAAAAAATTCAAAACATTCGAGTCGATTTTTTAGAGAACCCAGCAGTAGAATCGAAAATTTTCCGTCAAAAATTCTTCACACAATTGAGTTTGATGCACAGGGACATCCATGGCCCATATCATGGAGCTTTGAGCTTCAATTAAGATGGCTTTTTCAGATCTAAAACTACAATTCAAATTCAAAGGATACAACTTGTGTGGTGTGACAAGGAAAAAAATGAAATAGGTGAGAAAATATTTTCTGTGAAAAGGTAGGAACAGAGTGTAATGGAAGACGATGAAAAGGGAAGGGGTTCTGGTGGAGAAGGTGATGGAAAGAGTGAGGAGGCAGCGAAGAA